AGGAAGGAAGGAAGGAAGGAAGGAAGGAAGGAAGGAAGGAAGGAAGGAAGGAAGGAAGGAAGGAAGGAAGGAGGAAGGGAATCGTGTTGGGAGGGAAGGGGGAGATTTCCTACAACCACTACCCAGCCAAGCTTCCACCTGAGTTTCCTACCACGTGCTCAAGGATCTTGAGGAGGTGTGAACTCACCTATGCATTTCAATCCTGGGCCCTTGAATTTACTTTGGCCATTGCTGGGCAGGAAGCCTCGTTTGCAAGTGCAATAGTAACTGTCCTTGGTGTCGGTGCACGTTGCATATGCCGGGCACGCGGTGGTGTCTGCACACTCGTTCACATCTAGGCAGCATAGAAGGAAGAGTTTGGACAAGATTAGAGGATCAGAATGAGGAACCCAGCATAAAAGTTGGAGGTGCACATTCTGGGTCGAACTGTGCTCCCGCAGAAGATAGGAGGGAATCCNGCATTACCTGTGCAGGTGAAACTGCCTGCTTGTCCCAGGATCCAGTTATTTCCAGTGGGAGAAGAGAAACCAGGAGTGCAGCTGCATTTGTATCTCCCCAGAAGGTTTTTGCAGATTGAGTTAGGGCCACATTGTAGGGGGTTTTGAGAACATTCATCAATATCTGGACGGAGAAAGAGTTGGAGTTACACATTTACCTCATCCTGGGAAACAGATTGTATTTCCCCAAAATGGTTGAAACTATATTTCCCATTCCATATGTTCTTTATTCAATATAACTTTGGTACTGCTTCCACCAAGCTGTGGGGTCTATGTTCCCTCGCTTTGAATCTGAGCATATGAAGATACTTCAAGAAGTTCATAGAAAGACTCGTATTATCTTTTGATTCTATTTCCCCACAAACTTTATGGAGTAACCTCATACTTACGACTATGTTGGAAGTGATGAAAGATCATAAAAATACCATGCAAAGTCACAAAACTTCTCCTATGTTTACTGGAGAAGCTCATTCTTGGAACCCAGCCACCATACTGTGAGGAGATCCAACCATTCCTGGATTTGTACAGTGACCAGAAATCATTGTCATGATCAGAGAGAGAGAGAAAGAAGTGGGGGGG